AGCCAGAGTGCTCTTTAGAAGCAAGGATGGCAGGACTATGTCTCACATACTTTGGACATGTTAACAGGAAGGATCAGTCCCTGGAGAAGGACATCATGCTTAGTAAAACAGAGGGTCAGTGAAAAGGAGGAAGACCCTCAATGAGATGGATTGACACAGTGGCTGCAACAATGGGCTCAAGCATAACAATGATTGTGAGGATTGCACAGGACAGGGCAGTGTTTCGTTCTGTTGTACATAGGTTCGCTATGAGTCAGAACCAACTTTGCGGCACCTAATAACAACAACAACATATGTCTATTATATCTCTATATAGTTGTTAATAAAAACAAAAAAATAAAATTACTTAAAACCCACACCTTCTCTGGAATGACAGACACCTGAACCTGAAGTTTTGTTGACAGCTTCTGGCTTTCACGGTCCATCTCTCCCCCAACTCTTTTCAAAATGCCTCCAAGTCTGCTCTTCCACCAGTAGACTCTCCAACTTAGCAATAAGTTTTCCAGTACACTAAACAATGCAGTTGATGGCCGAAATGTATTTGATATCTGTCAACCTATTAAAATTATCTATGTTCTTCATAAGCCTCTTAAATACTTTTTAATTCTGGGTCAGTGCAGTCATAATATTCATGTGTCTAAACTACCAGCAGAGCATTAAATATTCAGAAAACTCCAAATCTCCAGAATTGGGCAGGAAGAGGAATTTGGAAATAGCAATGCCATAGAAGAGATTGGTGATCACATAAAAACCTTAAATTGTTTTCCTTAATACAGCGGATATTTTCAAAAAAGATACAATGGATATGAAGTCTAGAAGTAATAGCATCATGTCTTCTCCCTCTGAAATGGATTTCCTTCCCAAGATCTTACAACGAGATAAAACTAAAATTGCTCAGGTAACATAGCCCCATTTTTCCTATGACTTTTTTAAACGTGCATTATTACTTTTGTTGTTGTTAGATGCCATCCAGTCAGTTCAGACTCATAGCGACCCCATGTACAACAGAACCAAACACTGCCCAATTCTGTGCCATCCTCACAATTTTTGCTATGCTTGAGCCCATTGTTGCAGCCACTGTGTCAATCCATCTCATTGAGGGTCTTCCTCCTTTTCACTGACCCTCTGTTTTACTAAACAGGATGTCCTTCTCCAGGGACTGATCCTTCCTGTTAACATGTCCAAAGTATGTGAGACATAGTCCCGCCATCCTTGCTTCTAAAGAGCACTCTGGCTGTACTTCTTCCAAGACAGATTTCCTCATTTTTCTGGCAGTCCATGGTATATTCAATATTCTTCCCCAACACCATAATTCAAAGGCGTCAATTCTTCTTCAGTCTTCCTTATTCATTGTTCAGCTTTCACATGCATATGAGGTGATTGAAAACACCATGGCTTGGGTCAGGCGCACCTTAGTCTTCAAGGTGACATCTTTGCTTTTTAACACTTTAAAGAGGTCTTTTGCAGCAGAGTTGCCAAACAAAATACATCATCTGATTTCTTGACTGCTGCTTCCATGGGTGTTGATTGTGGATCAAGTAAAATGAAATCCTTGACAACTTCAATCTTTTCTCCCTTTATCATGATGTTGGTTATTGGTCCAGTTGTGAGGATTTTTGTTTTCTTAATGTTGAGATATAATCCATACCGAAGGCTGTGGTCTTTGATCTTCATCAGTAAGTGCTTCAAGTCCTCTTCACTTTCAGCAAGCAAGGTTGTGTCATCTGCATATGGCAGCTTGTTAATGAGTCTTCCTCCAATCCTGATGCCCCATTCTTCTTCATATAGTCCAGTTTCTCGGATTATTTGCACAGCATACAGATTGAATAAGTATGATGAAAGGGTACAACCCTGACACACACTTTTCCTGATTTTAAACCATGCAGTATCCCCTTGTTCTGTTCGAACAACTGTCTCTCGATCTATGTACAAGTTCCTCATGAGCACAATTTAGTGTTCTGGAATTCCCATTCTTCGTAATGTTATCCATAATTTGTTATGATTTACACAGGCAAATGCCTTTGCATAGTCAATGAAACATGGGTAAACATCTTTCTGGCATTCTTTGCTTTCAGCCAGGATCCATCTGATACCAGCAATGATATCCCTGGTTCCACATCCTCTCCTAAATCTGACTTGAACTTCTGGGAATTTCCTATTGATGTGCTGCTGCATCCACTTTCGAATGATCTTCAGCAAAATTTTACTTGCGAGTGATATTAATGATATTGTTGGATAATTCCTGCATTCTGTTGGATCATCTTTGTCTGGAATGGGCACAAATATAGATCTCTTTTCTAGTCAGTTGGCCAAGAAGCTGTCTTCCAAATTTTTTGGCATAGATGAGTGAGCACCTCCAGCGCGGTTTCCGTTTGTTGAAACACCTCAATTGGTATTCTATCAATTCCTGGAGTCTTGTTTTTTTGCCATTCCCTTCAGTGCAACTTGGGCCTCTTCCTTCAATACAATCAGTTTTTGGTCATATGCTATCTCCTGAAATGGTTGAACTTCAACCAATTCTTTTTGGTACAGTGACTCTGTGTATTTCTTCCATCTTCTTTTGATGCTTCCTATGTCGTTCAATATTTTGCCCATAGAATCCTTCAGTATTGCAGCTCGAGGCTTGAATTTTTTCTTCAGTTCTTTCAGCTTGAGAAATGCCAAGTGTGTTCTTCCCTTTTCATTTTCTAACTCTAGGTCTTTGCACATTTCCTGAGCCGACCTTTGAAATCTTCTGTTGAGGTCTTTTATGTCATCATTTCTTCCTTCTGCTTTAGGCACTCTACATTCAAAAGCAAGTTTCAGAGTCTCTTCTGACATCCATTTTGGTTTTTTTAATGACCTCTTACTTTCTTCATGTATGATGTCTTTGATGTCATTACACAACTCATCTGGCCTTTGGTCGTTAGTGTCCTATGCATCAGATCTATTCTTGAGCTAGTCTCTAAAGTCAAGTGTGATACACTTCAGGTCATATTTTGTCTCTTGTAGAGCCAAAATACTTTGGCTCCACTTGTTACAAAGAATTTATTTTTTAATAAATACGTTTCCTTTTTTAAGTCCAGAGAGACAAAGAGTAAATGATATATAGAGCATTTGGCTTCTTGATTTTTATTTCTCTTAATAAAAATTATGCTTATTATTCCCAAATATAACAATTTATATTATTTATTTAATCCTTATAAAATGCAAATGAGGTAGGTATTTCCTAATTGTTATGCTTTTTTTTGATGGGGAACTTCTGATTATTTAGAAAAATTGAGTCATCAATTAAACTATAATTTACTCAGCAGATATCATAATAATATTGTGATTTAGATTTTTTTTAAAAGACTTGTTAAATGAACAAAAACAAACAAAAAAAAGTTTAAGTGATACACCTCAGTACTAAGTAAATACTTTTTACACTGACCCAACCTTCGGGGAGAATCATAAAGCTCTGTAGCTCTATATACTCTTCTTCCCTTTTTCAAAGGACATGGGTTTATCCGTACCCCAGAGCTGACTTAACCAGGAGGCACAGGAGACACAGTGCTTAGAAGCCAAAAAATTGTAGGGACCTCCAAGAATGTTTTAATTCCTTTTAAATCAGAAGAAAAAATATAATTCAGATTAGATCCTAGTGATCTTTATACCAAAGTGCAGTCCCTCGGTGGTGCAAATGATTGACACGTTTGGCTGCTAACAAAAATGTTGATGGTTAGAGTCCACCCAGAGGCATCTAGGAAGAAGGGACTGGTGACCTACTTCTGGAAAATCAGGCATTAAAAACCCTACTCTGATACACACAAGGTCACCATGGGTCGGAGTCGACTCAAAGGCAAATTTTTTTTAGTATCAACGCAGTTGTAAAATATAATTTTTAATATATTTTATGGAGGAGGGAACTCATAATGGCTAAGGTTCCTAGAGCCCACGAAAGCCACAATGCAGAACTGCATGGCCCTCAACCTTCACATCAGATGCCTGAATTTACCTGTCTTTCTTTTATGCTGATGCGGGTGAGGATTGAGGTCACAGCTCTCTCTCCTTTTGGTTTTCAGCATGTAGGACAAAGCTTAATCCCATCTTTGCTGACTGACTTTGTGTGGAGTCTCCTGATGAAACTCTCTGAAACTAATTATAAAACTGCATCCCAGGCAGCATGCATGCTGAAATTGACTCTGGAATATCATGCTGATAAGGTCACCATGGTAAGATAATTGGTAATGAGCAGAGTGTATTCTCTAAAGCACTCTTGTTGCCTTTACTCTATGCTTACTTCTTTTCATACGTATTTCTTTCTCTTGCTCATTATGTCATTTTACTCAAATAAGACTTTCTCTGTGAAATATTTCAAGCATACAGAAAAGCCCAGAGAATAATGCAATGAACATTCATGTACTTACCCACAATAATACCAAATCATATTTGTGCTGTATTTGCTTCAGATATTTTAAAGAATTAATAGAGATAAAAACAGAATAGCTATAATTGAAATTCCCTGTGTAACACATAAGGAAAGTTTTCAAGGGCTCTAAGCTTGATCTAGGACTTGCTACATAATATATGAGGCTCAGTACAAAGTGGAAATGTGTGACTCCCTGTTCAAAACAGGAAAAAAGTACCTTTAAATGTGCTAACATAAAGTCTTTTTCCCTTTCTTCTGCAGTCTCTCCTTTTCTCGACTTATCATGATGTTTTTATTTACTATTTAAAGTTATTGTAAATAAAGAAAAATTAAAATTTTAAATTATTAGCATGAATTTCACCATCCACCTTTATGTTGTACAATTCCAATTATAGATGTAAATATAAGAGCATTTAACTTATATGTGAATCACAGAAATTATAGAATTCATATTTCATAGCTCACACATGTATAGAATTCATATTTCATAGCTCACACATGTATATGCATTTTGTTCTTACAAGAATAATGGAGAGAGGCAGGGCCAAGATGGCAGAGTAGTCAGATGCTTCCTGTGGTCCCACTTAACAACAAAGACCTGAAAAAAACAAGTGAATCAATTATATATGACAATCTAGGAGCCCTGAACATCAAAGACAAAGTTGAGGAGTCTGACTGAGAGGCAGGGAGAGGGAGACACAGTTCAGAAACAGTAAGGATTTGCCAGACCTGACCTGGCTGGCACCCTGCAGGCTGGACTGGCCAGCACGCATGGGCAGAGGTAAGCAGTAGCGTTCAGGATGTCTTTTCCACACTGGGAGAAACCAAGCAGCTGAGAGTCCTCACAAGCCTCTGGAAACAGGTGGAAGTGTCACTGGATCTGTGAAAGTTAAGTGCAAGCATTTAATCTACTGGAAACGCTTCCCCCTCTGGGAAGTACCTCTCTCCTATTCACCTGCCCCAATAATAGTAGGAGATTTCAACACACCACTATCAGTGAAGGACAGAACATCCAGAAATAAGCTCAGTAAAGACACGGAATATCTAAATGTCACAATCAACCAAGTTGATCTCATAGACATGCAGAACACTCCACCCAACAGCAATCAAATATACTTTCTTTTCCAACACACATGGAATAGTCTCCAGAATAGACCACATACTAGGCCATAAAGGAAGCCTTAACAGAATCCAAAAGCACTGAAATATTACAAAGCATCTTTTCTTATCACAAAGCCATAAAAGTAGAAATTAATAACAGAAAAAGCAAGAAAAAAATATCAAACATATGGAAACTGAACAACACCTTGCTCAAAAACTACTGGGTTATAGAAGAAATTAAGGATGGAATAAAGAAATTCACAGAATCAAATGAGAATGAACACATTTCCTACCAGAATCCTTTGGAATACAGCAAAAGCAGTATTCAGAGGTCAATTTATAGCAATAAATGCACACATTCAATAAGAACAAAGGGTCAAAATCAAAACATTAACCCTACAACTCAAACAAATAGAAAGAGAGCCGCAAAAGAAGTCCTCGGGAACCAGAGGAAAGCAAATAATGAAAATTAGAGTAGAATTTAATGAAATAGAGAATACAAAAACAATTGAAAGAGTTCACAAGACCAAAAGCTTGTTCTTTGAAAAGATCAACAAAATCAATAAACCCTTGGCCATACTGAAAAAGGAAAAACAGGAGAGGAAGCAAATAACCTGTATAAGAAATGAGATGAGTGATATCACAACAGACTCAACTGAAATTAAAAGAATCATAACAGACTACTATGAAAAATTGTACTCTAATTTGAAAACCTACAGGAAAAGCATAAATTTCTAGAAACACACTACCTACCTAAACTAACACAAACAGAGATAGAACAACTAAATAAACCTATTACAAAAGAAGAGATTGAAAATGTAATTTAAAAAACCCAACAAAAAAAAAAAAAAAAAGCTCTCGCCCTGACGGTTTCGCTGGAAAATTCCACCAAACTTTCAGAGAAGAGTTAACACCACTACAACTGAAGATATTTCAGAGCATAGAAAAGGATGGAATACTCCTAAACTCATTCTATGAAGCCAGCATAACCCTGATACCAAAACCAGGTAAAGACACCACAAAAAATGAAAATTATAGACCAATATCCCTCATGAACATAGACCCAAAAATCCTCAACAAAATTCTAGCCAATAGAATTTAACAACATATCAAAAAAATAATTAACCATGACCAAGCGGGATTCATACCAGGTATGCAGGGATAGTTCAACATTAGAAAAACAGTCAATGTAATCTATCACATAAATAAAAGGCAAGAACCACATGATCTTATCAATTGATGTAGAAAAGACATTTGACAAAGTCCAACACCCATTGATGATAAAAACTCTTAGCAAAATAGGAATAGAAGAGTAATTCCTCAACATAATAAAGGGCATTTATACAAAGCCAACAACCAACATCATCCTAAATGGAGGGAGTCTGAAAGCATCCCCCTTGAGAACAGGAACTAAACAAGGATGCCCTTTATCACTACTTTTATTCAACATTGTGCTGGAGGTCCTAGCCACAGCAATTAGGCTAGAAAAAAGAAATAAAGGACATCCAATTCAGTAAGGAAGAAGTAAAAGTATCTCAAAATGCAACTGATATGATCTTATACACAGAAAACCCCAAAGAATCCACAAGAAAACTACTGGAACTAATAGAAGATTTCAGTAAAGTATCGGGATACAAGCTAATCAAATCAGTTGCATTCGTCTATACCAACAAAGAGAACTTCAAAGAGGAAATCACCAAATCAATACATTTACAATAGCCCCCAAGAAGATACAATACTTAGGAATAAATCCAACCAGAGGTGTAAACGACCTAAAGAAAGAAAACTACAAGACACTACTGCAAGAAACCAAAAGAGACCTGCATAAGTGGAAAAACATATCTTACTCATGGATAGGAAGACTAGACGTTGTGAAAATGTCAATTCTACCCAAAGTAGTCTACGGATACAATGCAATCCTGATCCAAATTCCAAATGCATTTTTTAATGAGATGGAGAAACAAATCACCTACTTCATATGGAAAGGGAAGAGGCCCCAGATAAGTAAAGCATTACTGAAGAAGAAGAACAAAGTGCGAGGCCTCACACTACCTGGTTTTAGAACCTATTATGCCACCACAGTTGTCAAAACAGCCTGGTACTGGAACAACAACAGACACATAGACCAGTGGAACAGAATTGAGAATCCAGACATAAATTTGTCCACCTATGAGCAGCTGATAATTTGACAAAGTCCCAAAGTCCATTAAATGGGGAAAAGACCATCTCTTTGACAAATGGTGCTGGCATAATTGGATATCCATCTGCAAAAAAATGAAACAAGATTCATACCTCACACCATGTACAGAAACTAACTCAAAATGGGTCAAAGACTTAAACATAAAAACTAAAATGATAAAGATCATGGAAGAAAAAATAGGGACAACGCTAGGAGCCCTAATACATGGCATTAACAGAATACAAACTCTAACTAACATGCACAAACTCCAGAAGACAAACTAGATAACTGAGAGCTCCTAAAAATCAAACACTTATGCTCATCAAAAGACTTTACCAAAAGAGTAAAAAAAAGAAAAAAAAAAAACTACAAACTGGAAAAAAAATTTTGGCTATGACATATTCGATCTGGATCTAATCTCCAAAATCTATAACATACTGCAAAACCTCAATAAAAAGACAAACAACCCAATTAATAAATGGGCAAAGGCTATGAACAGGCACTTCACCAAAGAAGACATTCAGTTGGCTAACAGATACATGAGGAAATGCTCATGATCATTAGTCATTAGAAGAAATGCAAATCAAAACTACAATGAGATACCATCTCACCCCAACAAGGCTAACAGTAATACAAAAGCACAAAATAATAGATGTTGGAGAGGTTGTGGAGAGATTGGAACACTTAGACACTGCTGGTGGGAATGTAAAATGGTACAATCACCTGGGAAATTGATTTGATGCTTCCTTAAAAAGCTAGAAGTAGAAGTACCATAAGATCCAGCAATCCTACTCCTTGGAACATATCCTAGAGAAATAAGAGCCGTCACAGGAGTAGATATATGCACACCCATGTTCACTGCAGCATTGTTCACGATAGCGTAAAGATGGAAACAACCTAGGTGCCCATCAACGGAAGGATGGATAAACAAATCATGGTATATACACACGATGGAATACTATGCAACAGTAAAGAACAATGATGAATCCTCAAAACATCTCACACCATGGTTGAATCTGGAATGCATTATGCTGAATGAAATTAGTCAGTCACAAAAGGACAAATATTGTATGAGAACACTATTATAAGAACTCAGGAAAGGTTTAAACACAGAGGAAAACATTCTTTGATGGTTAAGAGGGTGGAGAGGGAGGGAGATGAGAATTCACTAACTAGGCAGTAGACAAGAATTACTTAGGTGAAGGGAAGGACAACACACAGTACAGGGGAAATCAGCACAACTGGATTAAACCAAAAGTTAAGAAGTTTCCTGCACACTACCAAAAACTTCAAGGGACAGAGTATCAGGGGCAGGGGTCTGGGGACCATGGTTTTGGGGGACATCTAGGTCAATTGGCATAACAAAGTTTATTAAGAAAATGTCTGCATCCCACTTTGGTGAGTGGCATCTGGGGTCTTGAAAGCTTTTGAGTGGACATCTAAGATGCATTAACTGGTCTCAATCCACCTGGAACAAAGGAGAATGAAGAACACCAAATACACAAGGAAAATATTAGCCCAAGAGACAAAAGGGCCACATAAACCAGAGAATCCATCAGCCTGAGACCAGAAGAACTAGATGGTTCCCGGTTACCACCAATGACTGCCCTGACGGAACACAGCAGAGAGTCCCTGACAGAGCAGGAGAAAAGTGTGGTGCAGAACTCAAATTCACGTAAAAAGCCCAGACTCAATGGTCTGACTGAGACTAAAGGAACTCTCAAAGGCATGGCCCCCAGACTCTCCATTAACCCAAAACTAAAACCATTCCTGAAGCCAACTCTTCAGACAAAGATTAAACTGGGCTGTAAAACATAAAATAATACTGGTGAAGAGTGTGCTTCTTAGTTCAAGTAGATACACAAGACTAAATGGGCAGCTCCTGTCTGGAGGCAGGATGAGAAGGCAGAAAGGGACAGGAGCTGGTTGAGTGGACACTGGCAGCCCAGGGTGGAAAAGGGGAGTGTGCTGTCACATTATAGGGATTGCAATTAGTGTCACATAACAATATGTGTATAAATTTTTGTATGAGAAATTAACTTGAGCTGTAAAGTTTCACCTAAAGCATAATTAAAAAAAAAAAAAAGAATAGTGGAAACACTGCACAAAACTAACTCGACTGTTTTTATTTCAGTTCTTGACATGCACACATTCTACCAACACTCTCTACCTTCAGCTTACTGCCGAATAGGAAGAAATGAAAGGAAAAGAAAGCCTACCCTATCTTTCTATTTCCTTCTGTGTCATCTTTTTCAGTGTGATTGGCAGCTTAAATAAGATTCTTAACTTGAGTTGCTTTGAATTTCACTGAACGCCCACACATCATGAGTCCACTGGAATTCTGTGCTCATAGGGCATCATGAGTGCTATATGTGAATGGGGCTGCAGGAACCACAGCCATCTTACGTATTACGTGTATCTCTTTGATTCATACACATGCTTCATTGTACCTTGGGACTTCACCTACAAAACACAAGTTCAAAGATAATATTATTAAGAATTGTAAGGTGGTAACAGCAGAGCATTAAACAAAGCATGGAAACCTCCTAAACGCAGAACCTAGGTAACTGCATAGGTCACAAGCCCATGAAGCCAGCCCTGGCTGACGACATGAGGACTAAACTCTTAGTTCCCTCTCCTGACATAGCAGTGTAATGTGACTGAAAATGAGTCATGAGCTCTTCCTCAGATTCAAAGAGCAAGAAGAAGTAAGGCTTCTTATAGAACTCCTCATGTTGCTACAGACAGGAGCATTCCAAGGGAGCTTCATAAGAGCCCCACTGGTAAGCCCAAGGGGGTTGCTGGAGGTAACAGTAATTGCCTCGACAAAACAGAGTTCTCCTCTAATTCAGTGGGAAAGAACACTAAAGAGGAGGCTAGATAAAGCCATACCAACTTTCTGGAGAGAAAGAGAAGACAAACTGAAAACTGTTGTAGTGTGCCATCGAGTTGATTCTGACTTAAAGCAAGCCTGTGTGACAGTAGAACTGTCCCATAGGGTTTTCTTGGCTGTAACATTTACGGGAGCAGATGGTCAGGTCTTTCTCCCGCAGACGCACTGGTGGATTCAAATTAATGACCTTTCAGTTAGCAGCTGAGCGCTTAATTATTGTACCAGCCAGGATCCTTAAACTGAAAAATAGATGTGTAAAAGTAGCCTCCACTACAGTGAAATCACTAAACACAGAGAAAAAACAATAAAAATGGAGTTGATCGACTTTGGCCCCACCACTGCTCCCACAAACTATTGAACTACTGAATACAGTGGATTCTTGTACAGTTAAAGTTATCCTTGAAAATTCCCTAAATTGCACACATAGTACATGAGTTTACAACCTCTAAATTACCATGACAAGTCTTTATTCAGGGATTAGATTACCCAGTGATATTGTTAGCTCAGTTTAGGGGCATGCTGCATTTAAGGGAGGAGGAAGAGAAACTCTAAATCCTCTAGTTAAGATGTCTATCAAGAAGAACAATGGTTTAATGTCCCCAATTTCATGCTCACTTTGAAGCATATGTTCACTGAGTTCTGTGGTAGGAGGACTGTCCTGCCCTACTTAGCACTTCAGTTATTTTCTTGTGTTTGAAGCAGAGTTGCATGTTCAGATAACTGAATATGTATACAATGCAACTGCAATGTAAAGTAAATTTATATCAACCAACTTTTCAGCTTATGATTTCTGAGGAATAATTTCAAAGTAAGAAGTGAGATGATCTGGGTGGATTAAATTTGATGCTGAATATACAACCATTGGTCTGAGACTAATTCCAGGTCTAACTAAAGCTATCCTTGTTCAAGAATGAATAAAATGTAAAAATAAATGAATGTATAAAAAATAAAACTAACATGGGGCCTATGAAGAGCTCTTGCAAGATTATTTCTCAGTGTTTACCATTCTGGGTGGTTCCTCTGATACATGGCTCATCCCTTCAATATGTAGATTCAAATCTTCTTCAATTTTCAGAAAGATTTCTTGAAGTATATAGTTCCATTGTTATTCTGTTTCATTGTTTTGACTTTCTTCTTTAGGGACATGAATTATACATATGTTCTTTTTATTGAGCTTTAAAAAAATGGAGTATTTTCCCACTATCCGTAAATGCACAGGTTTATTTCTCATCCTGATAAATATGCTTACTATAAGGGCTTCCTTGGTAATTCTAAGAAGGACTGAATTCTCATATTCAAGAAATGTCTTCGGTTAGAGTTGACCAGGAAACAGGAGATTCTTGTTGACCAGACATTTCTCTTCCAGGTATCTAAGATTGTGTCTACTATTTATAAGAAATTGTGTGGAAACTCTACTCACATTATGAATCATGCTATGTTGCGAGTCATCACCTTGCTGACACGTACTTCGCCAAAGAAAGTCATCTTTCAACTTATGGACTACCCAGTCCCAGCAGATAAGTAAGCCTCCCTCAACCTTTCCGTGAGGGTTTGTCAAGAGATTTTAGTCGGATAGACCTAGACTCAAAACTTGATCTATTATGGTCAGGCCTGTTTCTTTTTTCTTAAAAAGAAGATCCATTTTCCCAACCCGTAGGATAAATATAAAACTTAAGTAAGCAGGCCCTCAATAAATGATCATCATCACTAGTATTTTTATGAGGCTTTAAATTGTGTTCTTCTACCTATCCACAGGCGAAAAGACCTGCCAATCCGCTCCCGTAAAGATTACAGCCTAGGAAACCCTATGGGACAGTTCTACTCTGTCCTGTAGGGTCGCTATGAGTCAGAATCAACTCGACGGCACACAACAGCCTATCCCATAGAAACAAACCCTTCCTCAAAGTAATAATGGGTTTTTCTTTCCATATGTGACTTTACTCATTTTTCTTGAGGAAAAAAAAAGAGTGTTTTTCTCATTTATTAAGGACAGACATAAGATATTTCCACCCACCAATAAAGTAATGAAACATTAAAAATTCCCAGATATAATTGGGAGTCTCCTATTCTTTAACTGTTCATCAGAAATTCATGATCCAGGATCACAAGAAATGTTTAATAAGAAAAAACATGCTAGATGCTAGCAGACAGGACAGTATGATCTAACAGATAAATTATGAGAACTTAGCAAGTCACATCAGTCCATTTTGACAGTTGGTACATTGGAAAGAAAGGCATTACTTCTCTACTATTAATAATATAAAAGGCAGGAAGTGATTGATGGAAAGGATTCAGTCTTTGGAAACAAATGCATCTGGATTCCATCCCAGCTCTGATCCTGACATTCTATGGGACATCATGCAAATTACATAAACTCCCTGATCCTCAACTTCTTTATCTGTGAAATAAGGAAAGTTCTTTTTATCTATAAAGCTGTTTTAAGAGTTAAATGAATTGATGTCTCTGAAAGGGCGTTAAAATCAACAAAGTGCTAAACAAATTATATAACTTCATTTTCCTACTGTAAGACTATATTTATTTAGGAAGCTTAGAGCTTAGAGCTTGGCTGCTAACCAAAAGGTCGGCAGTTCGAATCCACCAGCCACTCCTTGGAAACCCTATGGGGCAGTTCTACTCTGTCCTATAGGGTTGCTGTAAGTCGGGATTGACTCAACAGCAACAAGTTTGGTTTTTGGTTTTAAACTCACAAAGTATTCTGCTATTCAGAAAATTTCATAAAACTAAAACTCTTCATAAAATTCAAAGTGTTTTTTCATTCAGGAGCTAAGCACTCAGTTTGTAAAGTATTCCCCACCATCAAGCATTTCATTGAGGAGAGGGAATTTACCCACATGGATTTATTATAAAAGTTGTCAGTGAATCTAGTACAAATAATATGTTTGTATTGTATCCAGTACAAACAGGCATAATTAGAGTCAGGTGAATTTAACTGTTGAAGTTGGCAGCAGGTCTTGTACAAAGACAGGCAAGGGCTGGGGTAGAAAAGGCCAGGATTTGGAGTTGAGCTTAGCCAGAGAAACATATGAAGGATCTGATCCATCAGAAGGTAGGATCCAGAGGTAAGAGAGTGGAGCAGGGCCTTCTGCCCAGGTATAGGATATGAGCAGGATGGAGCTAACAAAAGGGAAAAGGAGATTACTAGCATATAAGAACGCTGGTACTGCCCCACTGAATGTTAAAATACTAAAATGCTCTTTTACTGGTTTGTGAAGAGCTGCTGTCCTGATCTCACTGTCACCTGGCCACCAGCAGGTCCTCTCCTGGAGCCCTTTGTATCTTGCCACTGTCCAGCAATTAAATGGTTAATGCCTGGCATAGGCAGGGATCTCTGAAACTTTGCTCCAAGGCTGCAATGTCTACTGATTGGCTAGTGCCTGTGCCAATACCCCTCCAAAGCCCTGCTTCCTAGGCACTACTATTGGCTGTCTCTGGCCCCATGACTTGTCATCACTCCCCACTATCCCCAATTTACCAGTCAGCTCACCACAGCTCCTGTCTTCCAGTCCCCACCCCTCTGTGGTCTACTGGCCAGAACAGACCGAGGACTTGATGGGGAAGATGGCACCTAGTGGCCTTCCAGTGGATAAATGGTGCCCAACTGCTCTTCCAAGGCTATGCTTGCAGCTTCCAGCAAGTAGTATCCTGGAATTATTCTTCTATGGCCTGCAGCCTCATGATGATTGGTTTTGAGTGAGCATAACGGGGGCTTCTTTCAAGCACCAGCAGGTGCTGCAGGCTCCAATGGCATGACAGGTCATTCCCAGGATAGACAGAAGGCCAAAAGGCATGACCAGGGCCTTTGGGGGAGGTTTGGAGCTGGAGGATGACAGAGGTATGTGTCTTCCTTTTCACCATCTCTGTAGGATTTCATACCCATCTAACGTGAGTTCATGAAGACCCACCAAATTTGCACTCACCATGGACATTAAGAAATTAATAGTAGCAGTAAAAATTAGAGCTAATGTGCATAGACTGTGTGCTCAGAGCCAGAAACTGATCTAAATAGATACTACCGTAATTCATTTGAGAACTCTAGCATCATTTCCCATACTCTGTAGATGAAAACACTGAAGAAAAGTAACGTTATTTAAAACTTAAGTGACAGGACTGGGAGTCCAGACTGGTCCTACTTTGCCACCTCTTCTATGGCCCTAATGTGTCTCCCTATTTAAACGTGGCATTCAAATAAACAATTTTTGAGAATTACTTCATAATATAGTTTTAGTTTATAATAATTTATCTATTGATAATTATTTATTAGTTCATAATAAAGCTTAGAGTGACTACATGAAAAACTCAGTATAATAGGAACTAGAACTCTTAGCTTAGCAGAAGTTGAGAAAAGATTCAGCATCAGGAACAACATCTGTGATGTTAAGAAAAAGCCTCTGCTTTCGAGACTACAAGTTACCTAACGATGGTCAGCCTAATAAAAGAGTTTGTTTCAGCTTTTTATTCAAATCACAGCTCAGACAAGGGCAGCAATTAGCTAGTGAGAACTACATCAAAAGCAATTGTAGTATCAATTTTTAAAATTCAACAAATGATTTGGAAAGGGCTAGAGTGATATAATTTTTCCAGTATCTTTTATTCTTTTTGTTAAAAAACAAAACAAAACAACCGACCCCTTGCCACCGAATCAGTTCCTACCCATATTGACCCTACAGGACAGAGTAGAACTGCCCCATAGGATTTCCAAGACTGTAATCTTTACAGAAGCAGACTGCCACATCTTCCTCCCATGGAGCAGCTGGTGGATTTGAACCACCAACCTTTCAGTTAACAGTCAAGCACTTAACCACTGCACCACCAAGGCTCCATTCTTTATAGACCATCTTATTACATATATACATATATATATACACACATACACACAGAGAGACACATATATGATTTAGTTTATTTAAAAACAGAAAAGTAATATATTTCTTTTTAGTTTTTTTTCTTATATTGATTCATATATTAATTTATATTTCCATGCCTGTTTTTAAATATTCTATTATCCCTGGGGAAACCAGTGGTGTAGTGGTTAAGTGTTGGCCTGCAAACCAAAAGTTCAGCAGTTCGAATCCACCAGGTGCTCCTTGGAAACCCTATGGGGCAGTTCCACTCTGCCTTATAGGGTCGCTATGAGTCGGAATCGACTCAACGGCAGTGGGTTTGGTTTTTGGTTTATTATTCCCGGACAAACAAGGTCACATGGTACAAAGGCTAATCAGTTCTTGACTCTGAGCTGGACAGATGTTTACAAAGCAGCAGGAAATGAACTTGAAGATTGCGTACTCCGTAAGATCTTATTTAAATTCTTCCTCTCCTTTCAAAGACAAGAGATGAATGGGACCATTTGGAAAAGGGAATATCAATTTGTTTTGAAATTTTCTGAAGTCTTTGGTCTATAAAAAAAATGTAAAACCAAGGCTCTTCCTGATTCATGTCACTGTATCAAGTAGGAAGTGAAAAACTTGCGACTGTCGTCTTTGTGTGGGGCTGTGTTTGCAGCACTCTGATACTGATGTGGCACGCAGCCGGTTCTGAAGCCAGCGTGGCCCCTCACGTGCTGAAGACACTCTTGCTGATACTGAAAGGAAAGCCTGGGGAGACACACGACAGCTCAACAGGAGGAAGACGTCTCTCTCTGGATGCTACTAACATGATGCCTGTGGCGGTAAATAATGTGATGAGTGCTTTTTCTCAGTATTGTTTTTCTCGTCATGGAAATCCGTATCTGTCCGCAGACTCATTCATATTTCCTTGGCCCAGTCCTACTCTCATTCATTCATCCAGTACATATTTATTGAATGCCATCTATGTGCCAAGCCCTGATCATGGAGCTTACATGCTGGTGAGAGACACAGACAAGGAACAAATCAATCTGCAATATGTTGGATGGTAAAAAGCTTAGAAGAAATAGAAAGTGGTGTGGGGGAAAGAGAGTGACAGGGAAAGTTTAGGTAAGTTGATCAGGGCAGGTTTCCCTGACGAGGTAACACTTGATCAGAGACCTGATGAGGTGAGGGAGTGATCCATGCAGATGTCTGGGCAAGAGCTTTCTGGACAGAGAGAAGGGTAAAGTTCCTGCACTGAAAGGGAGATCACCTGGTGTGTCAGTGAATGCAAGGAGGCCAAAGCATCTGGAGTCAACTGAGAAAGACAAAAGTCTAGAAGATGGTATCAGAGAGGTAGCCACAGGCTTGATTATAGTTTTGTAAGCATGCAAAGGCCTAATCTTCTTTGTGTTTGTCATAATATATCTCCCAAAGACCAATACCATCACTCCAAATCTTACAGACATATAATAGAAAAAAAAATGATGGTGTTCCACAAATGGGAGGTGTTGGAACATAGTGAGTATTGCTGTGGTTGGGGGGCCAAATGATCTGTTAGTTCCTGGCCTGCCTCCTCTTAAATATCTCGCTGTCCTGTATCGTCTTTATCACAGCAAGGACCAAGGTTGTTATCAGGACTAAGTCTTCATTGCAGAGTCCCTGGGTAGTACAGTTAACACGCTCAGCTGCTAACCAAAAGTTGGACATTTCAGTTTACCCAGAGACAACTCTAAAGAAATGCCTGGCAATCTACTTCCAAAAAGCCAGTCATTGAAAACTCTATGAAGCACGGTTCTACTCTAAAACACATGGGGTAACCGTGAGTTGGAATCAATTCAACAGCAACTGGTTACTTTTTTTAGTCTTCGTGGCCACATATAAAGGGGACCTTGGGATGTATGCCCTCCTTGGGAACTCGACAGCATTTATAGCTTGCTTCCTGTTGGTTTGTGTCCTAGGGGTTGTTTATGGTACTTTGCAACCCTTGCCATCAATGGCTTGACAGCTCCTGGTTCAAAACTGACTTAATAAATATTGTCGAATGAATGAATGTACATGCGTGCTTTCAGTTTTAAGCTTCAGGCTTCCTTCAAAGAAATTGGGGGAGGGACTGCAGACCTTCCTACTTCTTCCCCTCAGTAAGGCTGACTGAGTTTAGAGGGAGATGGGAACAGAGACTTCCAAAGTTAACATTCTTAACCCCTCTTTCCTTCCCTTATAGGCATCCCAGGCCCTGTGCATGCTGCTGCCTGTCAGCTCGTACAGGAAAGCAGTGGCCCAGTTCTTCCCTCAGCTCTTGATGGCCCTCATCCTCCAAGTCTTTTACAGCAGGGACCTGAGACCGACCGCCAATGACAGGCCTTTGTAAGATAGTAGTGGTTACTTCAGGTTGAATAGGGAAAAGATAAGCTTCCAGCCAACATCTATTTCCATTCCTCTGAGTTCACGTGGAACTCCTTACAATCCTATGTGCAATACATGAACGTAGCACCATTTCCTCTAATCTGAAGGGTAAAATGCCTTCAGAAAAGTAACTATGCTGAGTACCTAGAAGTTAGCTAAGCTCATCAGTATAGGTAGTGTAAGGAGGACCACTGCCACAGAACACTATTCCTGCCACACTCACTGTCAATCGATGGGAGGCTGTTGAGGGGAGAGAACAGGGTGGGGCGTTAGATCCCAAGCCAGACACATTTCAGCTCTGCACCGCTCTCCAGTAGTAACCTCTCGTGGCTACTGTACGTGCCACGTACAACAGTGTGCACTCATGTGCCTTGTGAACTGTTAAAGTGGCGTGTGGTTAGTGATCTAAAGTGTGGGTTCTGCCATGCACATTTAGAAGGGGCTGGGAAGTCTTGTCCTTTCCCTTTGCCCAAGTGAGTACAGTGGGCTTCTCTGCTCTCCAGAAAAATCTGGACCCAACTGTCTGCTGTTTGTCTTGTCTGATATGGACTTCTAAGACACAATCAGACCTATGAAGATTGTTTAATCCACTCCCTGGCCCCCAAGCAGACATACACTGTATCATTCCAACTAGATAAGAATATATCATATGTATTTAAGGCACTCAAAGAAGAAAATCGATAGACACCCGTAACTAGTCATCCCATCATTTAACATCTCTTTCTAATAAAATGTTCTATGATTAACCCTAGATCTTTACATGGTGCAATTTCAATATAACCCCTTATGCCTCCACTGCCCCACTCCATGAACTATTTGTTAATTCAGGAAGATGAAGGATATTTAGCACTCACCTTCTATGAAACATCCCCTTTCTCAAAACCTGCATCCTGCCCGAGATAAAAGGTAGGTCACATGTACTTAGTTATGTGAAGGTCACTGTCAGGTCATGACTTGGTTCTTCTTTGGGGCCTTAGCTTTGCCAGAGATGCCCTGAGAATCCTGCTGAAATGTTCTGGACTGCAAGAGGTGGACACTGCTCTTGAGGAAAACGATTGCTGGAGCCAGTTTTCCCAAGTGCTGTATCACCATCACGGGATCTACCTTGTTGCCAAGTAAGAACAGAGGGCTCTGTGCAAGGTTCTCGGTCTCTGTCACACCCACTCAGTCTTTCTTCGTTTAAGCCATGTGGGAGTACAAGCAGCATGAATGCCAATGCCCAAATCGCTCCTAATGAACTGAGTTGCCATTTGATTTCTATTTCTTCAGTGATTTTGAGGGGTTTTTGCTCTGGAAAATTCTTCCCTTTCTTTCCCCTCTTACCCTATGATAGAGACCCCATTTCCCTCCCTCCACAGGATAGGTTTCTCTTTCAGATATGCATTTTTTCCCCTTGGCTCGTAAGTGATCCCTGTCCTGCAGGTATCAGACAATTATAGATGTGCTCCCACTTTAAAGGATCTGATAAAACCCTGAGATCAATGAGCCAAATAAATTTGGGAAATCATAACGGAAAATGATTTTTGTTTTTCTTACATTAGAAAGGGGGCTTTTTCTAGTTAGCCCTTTATTGAATAAAGAGGTCCTGATTATAGGAATCAAATTTTCTGATCAAGAATCAAGATGCATGACCTTGACAGCACAAGAGCCCGTTTAAAATTGTGACTGACCCAGAAGTACAGTCTATGTGGTCTCTGTACTCTTGGCACTTTAAAGATGGCATCTGATTTGCACAAACATTTCAGAAACATGCCTTACTGTGCAAAAGTGGAGCTCATCTGCACCCTGCAACTGGTCATTAGTTAGAACCACTCTATCCTTGGTGCCTTTGGACTGTCTTACTCAAAGTGTGGGCCACAGACCAGCAGCAATGGCATCTCCGGGGAACTTGTTAAAAATACAAAAACTCAGGCCCTACACCAGATTTAATGATTCAGAATGTGAATTTTAGCAAGATCCCCAGGTGATTCGTATGTACATTAAAGTTTGAGAAGTCCTGGTTTAGAGTACCAACCTGGAGTCTTGAAAAGGAATTTCTAACACATTATCTTTTCCAGTCTGATCCAGGAGGCCAGCGTGTCTCTTTAGTTGTGAACCTGGCCACTGCCTAATGTGTTATGGAGAATGGTTTAGTGAATCAGAACTCATCCCTTCTTCTACTGACTAACCCAGGGTAGTCCTAAACTTGCCAGCTCTTCTTCATTATGTCATTCAAAAGAAGGGCTTGGTCCAAAACCACAAAGGTGACCTGCACAACCATCTGGGATTGAACACTAGATATTTGCCTCCTCTTCTGTTGGGAGCAGTCAATGAAAGCTTGCACTAACATAGTACATTCTGTTCTGTGGCAAAGGATGGAGCAACAGGAAAGAGGAGTGACATTAAGAAAAGAGATGGTGTCAAGGATCCAGGTGTATGCAATTCCCCAATTCAAAGTGGGGCTACAGTATACCTCGGGTTAGGGAAGATTTTTCTTTGTATCTGGATGGAGCAAGATATGAGGATAATCATTCCCTCTTTACCACCATTAGCACTTGCTGATGCAGAACCTGTTTCCTTCCTCTTTGCTAACTCAGCACCTTATTCTTCTTTACAGAACTCTCAGTGACTATCACTTTCCACAGTTTCCAGAAACCTTGCATTATCTCTACAAGCTCTCGGTGGAAGATCCTAGAAGGTCAGAAGACACTGTCATCACAGTAATATTCCTCACTGAAGTGAGTTTTATTAGGAGACTGTGAACAACTGGGTTCTCATTCCCTTAGCATATTCAAACTTAACATTTAGCTTCTCACCTCCTTCTGTGGATATGGGTTCTTACCAAGAGTTATGAGTATGACAGGTGTCCAGAGTTGGGAGGGGAAAAGTGGAGTTAGACCTGTATTATGAGAGGGTTTTCCCTTTAGCTTGCTCCAGGAGTTGGCTTTTATCTTTTTTTAGAGGGTGTGAATTTTCACAAACACTAATTATTTTTATAATACCGGTTCATATATTTCTGCATGCTTGTTAAAGTATATCAAGGGATAATTTGGTTTACTAAAGATAGTAGGTAACATCAGGGATCTAAACTATACTCCAGACTACCTGAAAAAGAAAAGAAATTGGACAAATAACTAGGTAAGATGTGGGACCATATTACCTTGTCTATGACTATTACATCATGTATTACAATGCCATACTGGAGTCAAGCAAAATGAGGAAGTCCTTTTGCTTATAAAGGGTACATAGGAAAACAAGACCAAAGGGGCACACCAGCCCAGGGGCAAGGACTAGAAGGCAGGAGGGGACAGGAAAGCTGGTAATAGGGAACCCCAAGTCAAGAAGGAAGAGTGTTGACATGTCATGGGGTTGTTGTTGTTGTTAACCAATGTCATAAAACAATATGTGTACTAACTGTTTAATGAAAAGCTAGTTTGTTCTGTAAACTTTCATCTAAAGTACAATTTAAAAAAGTAATAATGTAAAAGGCAATTATTTACCTAGGGTTTGAAGCCCAATATTAAAAAATAATTGAGATTATTTCAAACTTCATCTTCAGCAAAATAGTTAAACTATAAAAGATATACCCATATACTATACTGTCTACTTATGAACCTTTTTGAAGGAGATGTAAAGCAATTTAACTTGACATTGCAGTAACAAATCACAAATGTTTTCCAAATTTGCTTAATCCATTTGTGTCTCTCATTATTTTCATTGTATGACTCATTATTTTTATTGTATCTTCCTTTAAGTATGTACAAGTATTAAACAGCCAAAATATAACATACATTAGAGCTCCTATAAAGTAAACCAGGAGGCTTGGTGTGCAGTGGTTAAGAACTTAGCTGCTAACCAAGAAGTTCAGCAGTTTGAATCCACCAACCACTCCTTGGAAACCCTATGGGGCAGTTCTACTCTGTCTTATAAGGTTGCTATGAGTTGGCATATGGGTATATGGCATAATGGGTATAAAGTAATCTAAAAGAAATTTACAAAGTACGTAAGATTTATATTAACAACATTAAGGTGACAGTTGCTGTTTAATGAAACCTAATTGCCCCTCACATCATGAGTACAGTGCTTGCTGCTATTGGAGTTTGGCATACTTGTCTTTCCAAGTACTCAGTGATGACCACATTCTTCCACCACTTCCTTTATTTGAACTTCTGTGCAATCCTCAGTTGTCCAGTACACTGTGAGGTCACTTGGCCTTTAGTCATTCTGGGCACAAAATCTACATATTTTACCTTATTTTGGTCCTATCATTAAGATGATACCATTGATGCCTATGCCATTTATTTATGTATACGTTATTTTTAATATTTTGGCAATGTAAATAGTACTACCGTTTACATTTTTATGCCTAAATCTTTATTTATTTATTTTGGTAGTTTAGATTATTTCTTTCTCATAGATCCCAGCATCTAAAATAATAACTAAAGGGTATAAATATTCTCAAGATTAAGGGTTTTTAATGCTCACATGGCAGCTTGGGGGTGTGCTCCTCTCGTCACACTTTCCACAATTCAAGAATTTTCCAGTGTGACAGGTAGATGTGATGACTTGTGGTTGATTTTATTTGTCCTTCATTTTTAATTTTTTGGAGGTTGAATATTTTTAAAATATGTTTATTACTAATTTAAAGTTCCATTTTTTGAACAAACTAATCTCTCCTTTGCCTACAACATAATCCTTTGACAGCAAAGGATTTAGAATATTACATATTACATAGCATTTTACCTACAGTAGAAGTTCTTTCAAAACTGGAGTCAATCCTCTCAAACTCTGCCACTGCTTTATGAGCTAACTTTACGTAATATTCTATATCCTTTGTTATTATTTCAACAGTGTTCACAGCAGCTTCACCAGGAGTAGATTCCATCTCAAGAAATCACTTTCTTTGCTCATCCATAAGAAGCAATTCCTCATCCATTAAATTTTGTCATGAGATTGCAGTAATTAAGTTACATCTTCAGGCTCCACTTCTAATTAGTTCTCTTGCTATTTCCACCACATTTGCAGTTATTTCTCCACTGAAGTATTGAACTCCTCAAAGTCATCCATGAGAGTTGGAATCAACTTCTTTCAAACTCCTATTAATGTTGATATTTTGTCCTCTTCCCATGAATTATGAATATTCTTAATGGCATCTAAAATGTTGAATCCTTTCCAGAAGATTTTCAATTTACTTTGCCCAGATTCATCAGAGAAATCACTATTTATGGCAGCTATAGCCTTAATAAACGTATTTCTTAAATAATAAGACTAAAAAGTCAAAATTACTCCTTGATCCATGAGCTGCAGAATGAATGTTGTGTTAGCCGGCATGAAAACAACTTTAATCTCCTTATACATCTCCATCAGAGTTCTTGGTTGACCAGGTGCATTGTTAATGAGCAGTAGTATTTTGAAAGGAATCTTTTTTTCTAAGCAGTAGGTCTCAACAGTGGGCTTAAAATATTCATTGAACCATGTTGTAAACTGATGTGCTGTCAACCAGGCTTTGTTGTTCCATTTATAGAGCACAGGCAGAGTAGATTCAGCATAATATCAAGGGCCCTAGGATTTTTGGAATGATAAATGAATATTGGCTTCAACTTTAAGTCACCAGCTGTGTTAACCCCTAACAAGAGAGTCAGCCTGTCCTTTGAAGCTTGGAAGCCAGGCATTAACTTTTCCTCTCTAGCTGTGAAAGTCCTACATGGCATCTTCCAATATAAGGCTGCTCTGTCTACATTGAAAATCTGCTGTTTAGTGTAGCAACCTTCATCAATTATCTTAGCTAGATCTTCTGGATAACTTGCTTCAGCTTCTACATCAGCACTTGCTGTTTCACCTTGTACTTTTATGTTATAGAGAAGACTTCTTTCCTTAAGCCTCATGAACCAATCTCTGCTAGCTTCAAACTTTTCTTTTGCAGCTTCCTCACCTCTCTCAATCTTCATAGAATTGAAGAAGTGGGGCCTTGCTCTGGATTAGGCTTTGGCTTAAGGGAATGTTGTGGCTGGTTTGCTCTTCTATCCAGGCTACTAAAACTTTCTCCATATCAGCAATAAGGCTGTTTTGTTTTCTTATCATTCACATGTTCACTGGAGTAGCACTTTTAATTTCCTTCAAGAACTTTTCCTTTGCATTCACAACTTGGCTAACTGTGTGGCACAAGAGGCCTAGCTTTCCACCTATCTCAGCTTTTGACATGCCTTCCTCACTAAGCTTAATCATTTCTAGCTTTTGATTTAAAGTGAGTGATGTGCAACTCTTCCTTTCATTTGAACACTTAGAGGCCATTGTAGAGTTATTAACTGGCCTAATTCCAATATTGTCATGTCTCAGGGAATAGGGAAGCCAAAGGAGAGGGAGAGAGATGGGGCAACGGCTGGTTGGTGGAGTGGTCAGAACACACACATTTATCAATTAAGTTCACTGTCTTATATGGGATCGGTTCATGGCACCCCAAAACAATTACAATAGTAACATCAAAGATCAGTGTTCACAGATCACCATAACAGATATAATAATAATGAGAAAGTTTGAAATATTGCCAGAATTAACAAAGTGTGACACAGAGACATGAAGTGAGCACATGCTGTTGGAAAAATGGCGCTGATAGAATTGCTCGACGCAGGGTTGCCACAAACCTTCAATTAGTAAAAAATGCAGTATCTGCTAAGCACAATAAAATGATGCACTATAAAATGAGATATACCTGAATTAATTTTTACATGTAATTTTTGTTTCTCGTGGAATTTGTTTGGTATACTATGAGGTGAGGATCTAACTTTAGTTTTCTCTAAGTAAGTCTCTGTCCTGGCATTTTTCATTAAATAAGCCTTAAATCCACCACTCATTGGTAATACTATCTTAATCATTTATTTATTTCATATACACATACATATTATGGTCTGTCTCAGTTTCCATTTAATTTAATACTATCAGATTCCATTTAATTTTCTATTCTTGTAGAAGTACCACACTGTCGAAGTATGGCGTTTTGAAAGTAAATGTTAATATCTGGCAAAGCAACTTCCTACAACTCTCTTCAAATTTTTTTTTCTTCTTTCATATATATTAGTTCTTCTAGTTAAATTTTAAAATAACTTTGACAAGTTTAGCCAAAAAAATACTTTGGTTGAAACTATGATTGCAATTACTGTATTTTAATGCAAATAAGGTACACCTTCTCCATTTGTTTGCCAACCACACCCTCTCCCCACGAGCTGTTTTCTTAAGCACACTATGGTAATTTTTTTCAGCAACATGTAAAAAACAATTGGCATAGTGGTGCTTATGAAAATATCTAAAAACTTCGTAGAAGGTGCACCTTATTTTCATTAAAATATGGTACATTAAAGCTTTAAGTGTCTCAGGAATGATATCTTTATAATATTTTCACTTTTTCTCATTCTATATTTTGTTTTTATATAAAACTTAGATATTAATTTTAGAAATTATTATTAAGTAGCTTGTATTATTTATTATTATTAATGTGAATGTATCCTTTTCCATTATATTTTCCCATAAAATACATTTTATATTTTCACCATTGGTTCACCATTAAGATGACTAACTGTTTTTGGAAGCAGATTGTTATTAATTATCATTCCATTCCTATTCGTAATTAAAATATTGAATTCTTTTGACTACCTTTTAACAGTTAATAACATGAGGTTTTTCTTATGTTACTTATTAATGATTATACTATATTATAGATGACCCAATATTAAAACTATTACTC